GGGGTTCCGGCCGGCTGCCGGGCCTGAGCTCTGGGGCGGGACCATCCCAGCCAGCGCTGGAGGAGCGCCTACTGCATGCCCGGCTCTGAGCTGAGCTCTCGGCACGCATTAACTCGTCAAGCCGCACAGCAGCCTGGGAGGTGGGAGTTGCCCCGTTGTACAGATGGGGAAACCGAGGCAGACAGTGGTCGCGTGGTCCGCTTGTGGTCATGGAGTTGGGAAGTGGCAGAGCGGGCGGAGATGTGAGCCCAGGGCCGTGCAGGTGGGCCCTCCGGAGGCGAGGACTGGGGTTCCCCTCCTTCTCCCCAGCGCAGCTTGGGGCTCGCTAGCCTGTAGTGGGTGGGGTGAAGGAGTCGATGGATAACCCAGTGAAGGGCTCCTTTGTTCAACACCTTTTTGAGAACAACGTTATGACACAGAGTGATGCTCAGAGGACAAAGAGCGGAGAAAGGCTGGTGAATAAAGAGAAGAAAGTGAAGGTGCCCCCTCCCCGCTGCCCAGATGACTACATCTGACAAACCTGCACCCCTTTCTCGGGGTTTTCCTGTGTGTGTGTGTGCTTTCTACAAACCGGCTTTGCACTGTGTATGCTCTTCTGTAACTTGCTGGTTCGGACTGAGCATGGTGAATAAATGTCCATGGAGGGTCAGGCGAGGCCAGGCCTTGGGGGGGACGGAGGTCAGGGGTCCTGGTGTCTGTTCTCGGGGATCTTGGTTTGGTGGGAGGACACAGGGTGAGTGGAGGAAGAGAGAGGCTCGTATGGGAAGAGAAGAGGGAGGGCTTCACGCCTTAGGGGGGCTGGGAGGCCTCCCTGCAGGAGGACAGAAAGGATCTGAGCTTTGGAGGATGGGCGACAGGCTGGGAAGGGTACACCTGGTGGAGGACCAGTGAGGGCAAAGGCGGGAGGTGGGGTCGGTGCGCGTTCCTGTGACCGGGACGGGGGGCTGCCAGATGTCCGGTGTGCTGGGGCCTGAAGTCAGGGCTGGAGTCTGGAGGTGTGTTGGGGGTGGCTGGCTGGGGGTGCCCCCCATGCTGAGCCCAGGCCTGTTTCTTCTCCGACGCAGGACCGCAGCCTGAGCGGCAAGCTGGAGCCGGTGTCTCCGCCCAGCCCCCCGCACGCCGACCCCGAGCTGGAGCTGGTCCCTCCGCGGCTCTCCAAGGAGGAGCTGATCCAGAGCATGGACCGCGTGGACCGGGAGATCACCATGGTGGAGCAGCAGATCTCCAAGCTGAAGCGGAAGCAGGTGTGGGCGCCGGGGGTGGCGGCCCTGAGCCGCCGGTCCAGCGGGGCGGCCGCGCAGAGAGCGCCGGTGACGGCCGTGCGCACGCGCCGAGCCTCGCCCGCCTGCTGGCTGGTTCCGTGTCCTTTACGTTTGTTGGACGAGGGCGCTGTCTTGTCTGGCGCAGTGCTGTCCAGTGAAGGAAACGCTCTAGGTCTGTGCTGTCCAGTGGTGGCCACTGGCCACGTGTGACCGTTGAGCACTTGAAATGAGCCCAGCGCGGACGAGGAACTGAACCTTCAGTCCAGTTTAATTAGAATGAAACAAAATTTGCACTCGCATGGCCCGTGCAGCTGCCGTGCTGGACAGCATGGCGAGGTCAGAGGTCAGGATTTACGGCCGGGCTGCCCAGGTTCAGGTCGAGTTTCTGCCCCTTCCTGGCTGTGGGGGGTCGGCGGTTATTTCTCTGTGCTTCGCTGTCCTCATCCAGGTGAGGGGCAGCCTCCCCTGGCCCCGGCCCTGGCATCTGAATGGGCCGGGCCTCCTCGCTCTCCTCGGAGCAGTCACCTCTCTGGGCCTCTGTTTCCTTGTCTGAAAAATGGGCACAGGCGTGACACCGCCTCACAGGGTTGTGAGAAGGGAACAGAACAACGTCATGTGGTTAAAAATAAATCCTCCTTGTGACTGTTGAAACCAAAGAAAAGTTAATGTAACTCTGTAATATTAATTTTATAATTGTATTTTTAACGTTAATTGATAGTCTGCCTTTTCCCAACTCTCTTCATGGTTTCCTCCCTGGCATTATTGGGGTTTCTGCTCAGATGTCCCCTCCACAGAGAGCCCCCCCCAGCCTTTTACAGGAGCCCTCACCCCCAAGCCGTCCTCCATCCTGGGGCTCAGCAGGTCCAGCCAAATCCGGCTTGATGCCTGTTTTGGTAAATAAAGATTTGTTGGCACCTGGCCACGTCCGTTCACGTATTGTTTGTGGCTGCTTTCTCGACACAGAGGCAGAATCGAATAGTCACAGCAGAGACCATGGGGCTGGCGGAGCCAAAAGTATTTACTTCCGGGCCTTTGCAGGCAGTCTTTGCCACCTCTGGCACCGCCATTTGAGTTCTCTGTGTCCTGCCGTGGTCTGGCATGGCCTCCTCCCGCCCCATAAGGGCAGGGTCCTTGTCTCCCTCTGGACTGCCCTGCCCCAGCTGGGCGGCACTAGGAGGTGCTCGTTGAAACCATTGAGTGAGTCGTGTGACACTGTCGTGACCTGGGGAGCGTCCGGGTCGCCCCTGGGGGAAGCAGCTCACACTGGTCCTTCCGGGTAAGGGACTGTGGGCTCCCTGTCGTCAAGGGCCCGCCGTGGCTACTGTGGGCCGCAGAGTGAAGGCTGATGCCAATCTAGGGCCCTGCGAGTGGGTCTGGGAGGAGGGACGGGGGAGGGACGGCATCATCATGGCTGTCACTTGCAGGGAGGAGCTGGGACTTGGGGACGGTCCAGCAGTGGGGCCAGCCAGTGAGGCTCGGCTAGCTGTCCCCGCCCTGGGGCAGTGGGTGGGCTTCTAAGATGGCGGCCCAGGCGGCCCGAGAGAGGCTGGGCCCCGGTGGGGTCAGGCTGGCGTCGCCAAGCCCAGTGGAGTAAGGGCACCTCCGGTTCCTTCGGGCCTGGCTTTGGGAGGAGGCCAACGCTACAGGTGGTGTGGACACGTCCGTGACTGCGGCTCAGGGCAGCCCTGGAGAACCAGATTTTGTTTTAGTTCCACTTTGGCATTTTCCTTGAGCTAAAATCCACAAAACATAAAATGACTCCTTTTGAAGCGAACCATGTAGTGGCATTGAGCACGTTCACGGTGTTGTGCAGCCGTCACCTCTGTCTAGTTCCAAGACGCTTTCCTCACCCAGAACGAGACGCCGCGCCCATCCTCAGTCACTGGCCGCTCCCTCCCCCAGCCACCGTCTGCTCTCTGTGGGTTCGCCTGTGCTGGACTCGGCGCGTGAGTGGGGCGCACGGCGTGGCCTCTGGCGGCGGCTCACCCGCCGTCCTGTTCTCGAGGGCCTGCGCGTCCTAGCTGTGTCGGCGCTCTGTTCCCGGATGGCCGACTCGTGTTCCGTGTGTGGGTGGACCCCGTTCTGTTCATCCGCCGGCTGGCGGTGGGCACTTGGGTTGTGTCCACCTTTTGACTGTGGTGACCGGTGCCGCTGTGGACATCGTGTCAGGTTTTCTCTGAGCACCTGCCTCGGTTCTTTCCGGTCTGCACCCGGGGTGGAATTGCCGGCTCCCCAGGCGACTCTGTGTTTAACTCTTTGAGGAGCCGCGAGACTGTTTCCACAGCAGCTGCCCCATTGTACCTTCCCACCAGCAGTGCACAAGGGTCCCGATTTCTCCACGTCCTCATCAGCTCTCGTTGTTCCCCTTCTTTCTATCACAGCCGTCCTGGGGGGTGTGAGGGGTCTCACGGGTTTGATTTGTGTTGGACAGCCGGTTTTATCAAGCTGTGTGGTCTAGGGACTTCATCTCCTCTGATCCTCAGAACAGCCTTAGGGGTAGGCGCTGTTCCTCCCGGCTTTCTCTGAGGAAGACACTGAGGGTCAGAGAGGTCCAGTGACTTGCCCAGGGCCGCAGAGCTCGTGAGCGATGGAGCGAGGTCAGCATCTGGGCCTGACAGAGTTCTTTTTTTTGTGAGGAAGATCAGCCCTGAGCTAACATCCATGCTAATTCTCCTCTTTTTGCTGAGGAAGACTGGCTCTGAGCTAACATCTGTTGCCAATCCTCCTCCTTTTTTCCCCAAAGCCCCAGTAGATAGTTGTATGTCATAGCTGCACATCCTTCTGGTTGCTGTATGTGGGACGCGGCCTCAACATGGCCGGAGAAGCGGTGTGTCGGTGTGTGCCTGGGATCCGAACCCGGGCCGCCAGTAGCGGAGCGCGCGCACCTAACCGCCAAGCCACGGGGCGGGCCCGGCCTGGCAGAGTTCTTAGCAAGGTCTCTGTGCGTGTCTCAGGGGCCTCAGGAGGGGCCCTCACTGGGCGGGGAGAACTCTCCTTCCATCTGCCCTTTCTGCCTGTGAACTTCTTCCATTTCTTCGCTTTGTCTGTTTTACACTTTTTGGAGGGATTTCGATGCTTTGCCAGTGCTGGCTGCCCCCCTGGAAGCCGCCACCAGAGGTCGCTGTGGGGCTGAGGCAGCTCGGCTCAACTGCCAGGCCTTTGTGCCGGCAGAAGCCCAGACTGGATTTTCTGGCTCTTTCCGTGCTGCTGTCCTCTTGGCTGCCTTTTTGGTTCATAATGGTTGCTCCACGGTCACGGACAGGTTGTGTGCACATCACCAGCAGAGAGCAGTGTTCTAATCTCACCCAAGATGCCCTGTCAGACTGCACACCTGGGCGTTGGCCTCCTGTGTGACCCTGGGCCAGTGTCTTAAGCTCTTTGTTCATTTTTGGCTTAAGCAGACGCAGCATGAAGGGATGCCCTTTATGGTGTTTGCAGGAGGAGGGCCCAGGGTGAAGCCCCCAGGGCAGGTGACGATGACAGTGATGATGAGGAGAAGCTGCTCGCTAGGTGCTGACTGCTTTGCGTGGCTCAGCTCAGTTAATCCTCATGCCACCTCTCTAGGGTAGAAACTTTAATTGTCCTCATTTTCCAGATGAGGAAAGCAAGGCTCAGAGAAGTTGAGTAGCTTCCCAAGGTCACACAGCAAGTAGGTAGTAGAAACAGGGTTCCAGTCTGGACAGTGTGGCTCCAGAGTCTACACGGCCTCTCCTGATGTGATGGTGCCGGTGGTGATGATAATGGATAAAAACGGCTGGCCTGTAGTGAGCCCCAGGCTGCACTGTGCGGGCATTAGCTCATCCTTTCCTCACCCCGCCCTATGGGGAGGCACAGCAATAGCCCCGTTTTACAGATGGGGAAACTGAGGCACAGCGGGTGAGGCTGCCTGCATGTGCTCACATAGTGATGTCACCAGGGCGGGATTTGAACCCGGGAGGCTGGCAGCAGAGCCTGGAGGTGGGAGGTGGCCCCGGGCCGGGCCGTCCCCGCGCGAGCCGGGGCCTCTCCGGAGTCCCGGGGTGACTCAGAGGAAATGGTGAGCGGCAGCCTGACTTCCTGTGCGCGGCCAGCAGCCCGGGTGTGGGGGCCGCCTCCTCCTTCCGCCCGCCGTGCTCACCACGCTCTCCCTTCCCGCAGCAACAGCTGGAGGAGGAGGCCGCCAAGCCGCCCGAGCCCGAGAAGCCTGTGTCGCCGCCGCCCATCGAGTCGAAGCACCGCAGCTTGGTGCAGATCATCTACGACGAGAACCGGGTACGCCCCGCCACCCACTCCCCGGGGCCCCCGCCGGGTGGGAGGCGGCTGTCACCCTGGAGGATCTGGCTCTCCCTGGGCCTCGGTCTTCCCACCTGTGAAATGGGGGCCTGTGAACCCCCCCCCCCCCCACACACACACAGAGACCTGGGTTTGTGAGTCGGGGAGGGGCCAGGGCGGCCAGTGGAGACTCGTCTTGGTGTGGCCGTGGCCGTTATGCTCAGACGTGTGGACTGGGTGGCCTGTGGCTGGCCTGGGGGATGCAGCATGGAGACGTGGGCCTCGGTCGCGGGAGAGCTTCAGGGGCCTGTGGTCAGTGAGGGATGGGCAGTCACTGAGGCACTCGGGGAAGACAGTGGTCATATTATTATCAAGAACAACAGCAAGCATGACTGAAGAGCTGCTCCTCCTCAGGCGATGGGCACTCCTAGGAGGGTGGGTACAGTAATCGTCTCCATTTAATACAGGGAGAAACGGAGACCCAGAGGTTAAGTGACTTATCCAAAGTCACACAGCTGGGAAGTGGTGGACCTGGGATTTGAACCCGCGGGCTGTTGGGATCCAGGGCCTGAATCGTCAGCACGGGCCTCTGCTGACATTTAGCCCAGAAGGGCCTTGGGATGGTTGAACACAGGGGCTGTGGGGGCTGTGGAGGCTCCGGGGATCCAAGGTGGGCAGCTGCTGGGCGTGTGGTGGGGCTCGGTTGCTGCAGGGGGCTCACGGTGCCCAGAGCAGAGTGTCTCCAGGGGCTGAACCCGCAGGGCCTGAGCTGCCCCGAAGCGGACCCTGGTATCTGGTGTGGTGGTGAGCTCCCTGTCATCCCCATCAAGCTAATGAGAGCTCGGCTTCCCTGATTTCCAGTTGACTCTTTCCAGGTGTGCTTAGGGCCTGTGTGTGCTGAGTCCCCTCCCTTATTTTACAGATGAGGAAACTGAGGCCCAGAAAGGGACTGGTCCTTGTCTGAGGTCACACAGTGACGTGTGACAGATGGGGGATCTCTCCTCCCTGCCTTGGCTCCTCTGGTCCCCCTCCTGCCCAGGGCTCCTGGCCACCCTTCCCAGCCTTCTCTGCTGTGGGATCTGCCCCTGGCTGCCAGATCAGTGCCCAGAGTCCAGATGGGGCTGCATGTCTGCTCTGGAGCCTGGGAACACGTGGTTGGGCCTGTGGCTGTAGCTCCAGGCAGGGGACTCCTGGATCAACTGGTGTGGCTATGCCTCCGCCTCTTGAAGCAGCAATAGATGCAGCCTGAGACTGAGGCTGCTGGGGGCCTTGTGGGCTGGTCACCCTCCCATGCCCTTTCCCCCTCCCCAAGTGACACTAATAACAATCATAGTGATAGGAGAGTTGAGGGGCCACGTGTGCTTTAGCCAGATGTCCTGGGTGCAGATCCCATCTCTACCCCTTCCTGGCTCCGTGACCTTGGGCAAATCACATAACCTCTCTGTGACTCATGTTCCTCACCTGCAAAATGATGATAATTATAGCACCTGCCTGGTACAGTGGTGTGGGGATTAGTGAGTTCAGTATGGAGTGTCCTAGAACAGTACCTGGCACTGAGGACGTGCCAGCTGTGCTGTGATTGTTGTCATCATCATAGTCGTCATTGTTCTTTTCTTCTTGTTATTGTTTACGTTTTGAGTGATTTCATTTAATCCTCTCCAGACCTGTATGAAACAGGTACTGTTATTCTCTCCCTTTCACTCATAAAGAAACCGAGGCTCAGAGAGGGAAGTTGATTTGCCTGAGATTGCACAGCAAGTGAGCTTTGAGGCTGGGACTCGGAGCCAGGATTGAGCAGGCTCCAGGAGCCTGTGGTGGAGGGGACAAGGACAGGGCTTGTACATGTGTCACCCCAGGCAGCCCCTTTGCCCACCCTCCCTGATCCTCCATTGGGAGAGCAGGCACGGTTGTCTGTAGCAGCTGTGGAGGCACGTTGGTGGCTTTGCCCAGGACGTCACCACAGTGCTCTTGGCCCTTGTTGGGGGCTCAGCCTGTTGGGAACCAGCAGACTCTAGCAGGCTGGAGCCCAGCCCTGCCCGGCCAGGTGGGCTCCAGGCACGGGTCTTTGGTGCCCTCTGCAGGGAGCCTACTCTACCCCCCCCCCCCAGTGACAGGCCTCCGTTTCCCAGGGCATTATCTCAGCAGTAATGTGGGGTCCCCTCCGTGTCTCATGGTTTCTCCCCAAAGAGCTGTGGCTGCAGATGTGATTGGTCTTCAGCTCCTTGGCCTCAGCCCTGCCCCTCCCCCAATAGCACTTGACACCCCCTCCCTGTTCTTACTTGGGTGGTCTCTCTGCCAGAACTGCCCATCCTCCTGCCCCATTTTCTGCAGCTTCTGCGTGGGTAGGGGTGAGGGGCTTGGATTCCAGTCCAGCCCACGCCCTGAGGAGCTGGGTGGTTTATTTCAGTTCAGATCTCTGGTTGCTCTGGGTCCTGGCCACACTCTTGAGGTCACAGAGCTGATGTGACTGAGATAGTGGCTGGGAGGGCTTTGCAAACTCGAAAGGGAGGTGCCAGGGAAGGTCCAGTAAGATGAGACTCTTAAATACGAGAGACGAAAACTCAGCTCAGACTGCTTGAGGCTAAAGACAGGGTTATGGAGTCTTGTAGTGAAAGTCGGTGTTAGTCCACTTCAGGTATGGGTGGATCCAGGTGCTCAAATAAAGCCGTTTGGGGGTTCTCGCTCCCTATCTCCGCTTCCTCTCTGCCAACGTCATTCTCAGGCAGGGTTCCCCAGGACGTGGAAAAACGGCTGTCAGCAAGGCCAGGCCCCATCACCCTCCCAGGGCAGATAGGGAACTCTTCCCCAGGTGTCTCAGCTATAGTCCTGGGGTTGGCTCTCATTGGCTGGCTGGAGTCACGTGCTCATCCTCAGCTAATACTGAGGCCGGGGGTTGACTGCACGGATTGGTCAGGGCCGGGTCTTAGGCCCACCCTGCCCGGGGGACTAGATCAGAGGTGGGGGAGTGGAGGCTGGCTAGGCACTGCAGCCTGTGCCCCCACCGGCTGTGAGGACCGCGTCAGGGTCCCGAGCGCTGGCATCGCCCTCTCTGCGCCAGCACCTCAGGCTGGGGCTCTGTGGCCGTTTACGCTGATTCCATTCCAACGTGTCCTGATGGCGTGGGGTCCCGGGCCTTCCCCACCCCCCCACACACACCTGTTTGCAGATGGGGATGTGGAGGCTCTGGGCAGTTTCCTGAGGCCTCACGGCTGGTGGGTGGTGGGCGAGGACTCAGCCCTGGTTCCTGGGATTCTGAGAGCAGGCCCCACCCCACTGGTGGTCACACTCGTCCTGTCCTTCCATCCATCCGTCCATCCATTCATTCAGCAGCCTGTCATTGGACGCCTGCTCTGGGCCTGCCACTGTTCCAGGCCCTGGGGACGCAGCGGTGACCTTGGGCCCAGCCCACTCATGTTGACTTCCTGGTGGGGGAGACATAATCACACCCACAGAACCACACGTGGGCACACCGTTAATCTGGGGATTTCTGCCCTCATTGACCCCGATCCCCCGTCTCTCCTTTCACTTACCCCTCTCTCTGCCCAGCCCCTCGGGCTTTGTTCTTCCTGGACACCCAGGCGCGCTCCTGCCTCAGGGCCTTTGCACTGGCTGCACCCTCCACCTGAGGCTCCTGTTTCCCGCTGGGCTAGCTCTTCATCTTTCAGGTCTTTGCTCAGATGTCCCCTTTCCAGCCCGTTTTGACCCTCTGTTTAATCCTGAGAACCCTGGAACCCCGCTCCTCCTCTTCCCGGCTCTGGTGTTCTCTGCGCTCTTGTTCTCGCAGGACGTGGTTCCTGTTTTATTTGTTTATTCCATGTATTGTGCAGCAGCGCCGGGAGGGCAGGGCTTTTGGTCCCTTTTATTCCCGCTGTGTCCCCGGCACCTGGAACAGAGCCTGGCACACAGTAGGTGCTCACTAAGTGCTTGTTGAACAGATGAAGGATGGCAGAGGGGAGGGGAGACTCTGGTTTGGGGTGTGAGACTGGCCCCAGCCCCAGTGGAGGTGAGGGAAGCCCCTCCGCCTGGGCTGGACCCCAGGGGCTGGAGGGGGGTGGGCGGGGGCCCCTCAGCTGCCTTTGCAGGAGCAGCCAGGACTTCCCGCTCCTGGGGGATCAGTAGGATTGAATTTAACCCTCCTTCCTTCCCCGCTGGTTCCCCCAGAGGCAGCGACAAGGGTCCGGCTCTAAATGCCGCGCGTGCTGGAAAGCGCAGCCTCCTCCCCCGCCGGCTGCTCTGCGTTTGGGGCTCCGGCTCAAATCCGTTCAGGACTCAGGGATGCGGCACCGGCCTGCACTGGGGCGGGGCGGGGGGCCGCAGCTGAGCCAGGCTCCTCCTGCCTCCTGGGAGCTGCCGGCCTGGGTGGGGCCGGGCAGGTGCACACAGATGGCGGAGCAGGAGGCAGAGTTGCTGCAGGCCCCGAGGGGCAGGAATGGGGTGGGGGGGGGTTGGGAAAGGCTTCTTGGAAGCGGTGGGTGGGCCGTTGGCGGAGGAGGGCATTCGAGTGGGGGTCCCAGCCCAGGCAAAGGCGCAGAGGGGCTGGGGGTCTCGTTTGACCTTCAAAGGGCATGTGGGGTGGGAGGTGGAGACCGGGTGGTCTGGAGGATGCTGATGCTCTGAGTTTGGAGAAAACAGACAGCCGCAGCAGCAGTGAGGGATGTGTAAATGAGGGATGGTTCACGTGGCGCTGATGCGGTAGGAGTTCAGGGCAGTGGGCAATTGAGGTGGACTTCCTGGAGGAGATGGGATTTGAGCTTGGTCTGCAAAAATGGGTACTATTGGGAAAGGGTAGGAGGGTATTGCCAGTGGAGAGGACTGTGACCCCATCAGAAGCTGGTGAGGAGGCAGAGCCCTGATTGCTGAGTGACGAGGAGATCGGAGAGTGAGACCCGAGTCTTTCTTGTCTTAGATTTTGAGCATCTTACTGGTGAAGTTTGTAAGCACGGTGGTTGGGACTAAGTAGGGCGAAGTGGACAATACTCTCAGTGATGACCAGGAGCAGGGAGCATTCTGTAGAGCATCTTGGGGGTCCAGGCACCCCGATGCCCGTTTGCAGGGCTCACCTTCAGACCGGGCCCTGGCAGGTGATGGACCCGGGGTCGGGGGGAGGGCAGGGTGGCTGGAGCGAGATGCTGGGGTCTCGGGCTTTCTGGGTAGCTGGGTGCTGCCCCCAACTCTGCAGACTGGGGGGTGAGGCGAGGAGCTCAGGCCACAGGGGGCAGCTGAGGAGCTAGCGTGGGGGTCCCGTGGAGGGGGGCAGGCCAGGGAGCTGGTCAGGGTGAGGCTCTGGTCCCCCTGCCCAGAGGAGAGCCGTGTATGTGCGTGTGTGCGCAGTGCACACATGAGCACATGTGACTATGGGCGGCTGTGCTCATATGTATGTGAATACACGTGTGTACAGGCCAACTCGTATGGGGCACGTATACAGCACACGTGTGCGTTCGCGCGTGTACACATGTGGACCTGTCAGTGGCTGTGTGCACATGTGTGTGTGGTCAGCGTGTCCGGGCATGTGATTATTCGTGCATTTATGCATCCGTGCACGTGTGTGTGTCATGTTTGAGTGGGCCCATGGATGACTGCGTGTGTGAGTACACGTGTATATGAGTCAGGTATGTAGGGCACACCGTGGTTATCTGTGCATTTGTACGCCGTGCATTCATGGGCACAGCTGCAGCTGTGTGACACGTGTAGGTGCACGTGGGTGGCGGTGTGCGTGTATGCAAATTGGGGTGCGTGGGGCATGCATGTGGTTGTGCGTTTCTGCTTCATGCATGTCTGCACCTGTGCGTGCCTTGTGTAGACATATGAGACTGCGTGTGTGTACGAGTTGGCCCGTGGGGCACACACACGTATACGTGTGTTTATAGATGTAGGCGTAGCATTTGACACGTGGGTCCCCGGGGCTTGTGAGCACCTGTCTGCGAAGGTGACCAAGGTCTTTCACACCCTAGCAGGCCCTGGGCTCTCTGGCCATCAGGAGGCCACGTGGATTCTGGGGTCCCCTGAGAGGGACCCCAGCTGCCCCCCGCCCCTGGGGCAGGCGGAAGCCGTGGGGGGGCTCGGCGGGCTCCCCCCCACATCGGCGAGAGCTCCTGAGTATGTCCTCTGGGGGCCGAGCAGGGTGACCTCGGGCACCGGGGTTCTGGGGACCCTGGCGAGGAGTTTGGCTTGGGTTCTCGGGCTGGCGAGAAGCCTGTGCGGGGCCGAGTCTGTGGTCTGTTCCCCGGCCATGCCCCTTTCCAGGGGGTGTCTCCCCTCCCTCTGCAGAGGGACGTTGAGAGAGAAGTGACAACGTGCACGTCCCTTTGCTCCCTGCAGAGCATCCGTGTCAAAGTCCTGGGGGTCTGGTGCCCGGGGGAGATGGGGAGACCGAGGCCCAGCAGGTGCCGTGACATGCTGAGGGGTAGAGTCGAGCCGACTCCCAGACCTTGGCCTGATGGACAGATGTGAGGGAAAGTCCATCTGGGGAGGGGCCCGAGAGCAGGACACCCCCAGCTCCGCCTGGACAAGCAGATTCCCCACCCCCGCCCCTGCACCCTGGACCAGAGAGTGGGGGGTGGGGGAGGGAAGGAAGCCGGGAGCAGGGGAGTGGAGGCCTGAGGTGGAGGAAACGCCCGGAGAACACGGGGTGTCTGTGTGTGTGTGCGTGTGCGCGCGTGTGTGTGCGCGCATGCATCTGTGTGTGAGCAGGTTCAGGGCCCGCAGGGTCCCAGCCTTTGCTTGCCGCTAGAGCTGTGTGCTCCAGGCGGCTGCATGACCCAAGGCTCGGCTCCCCCTGTGTAGATGAGGCTGACGCTAGAACCTTCCGCGGAGGTTCCCGCAGGAATCCAGACGCAGGGAGCAGGTAGAGGACCCAGCACAGGGCTCATGCATGTAGGGCCACCTGGTCTGAGCTGTGGCCTTGTCGTTATTGTTAACGGCAATAGTAAGAGCCAGCCCTTACGTAGCCCTACTGTGCGCCAGGTCCTGGGTTTAGAGTCACGAGTGCCGGCCCATTTAGTTCCCGTAGCAGCCGCGTGAGCCCGTCTTACAGGTGAGGAAGCCGAGGTCAGGCCCCAGCCGCGCGGTTAGCAGGGGATTTGACTCAGGCCGGCTGGCGGGCAGCCCTTGCCGCCGGCCCTGCGCCGTCCCGTCTCTGGCGCTGCAGCGTCTGTAGGGCTGTTTCCTGACAGGCGTCTTCTGGGTCAGCTGTGGCCGTGCCGTCTTTTGGAAACTGAGTTGCGTCTTAGAAGGCCCAGGGTCACTCAGGGCTTAGCGAGGCGGGGGAGGCCTGTCAGGAGCAGAGGCGCTCGCACCGTCTGTGAGGGAGAGGGCTCTGGGGGGTGCCCGGGCTCCCCGCGGCTCGGGCGGGTCGGGACGAGGCTCCTCCGCATTCTCCTCTCCAGGGCTGCAGGAAGCCCCCCTCCAGGGCCCTGTGTTCCTGAGACAGTGGGGATGTGGTCGAAGATGGAATCCACCATGGTTCCTAGGACATAGGCATCTGGAGCCCCCACAGGGCCCCCGGGTCCAGATCCAAGACCCAGGCCCAGTGGTGTGACGTGGCAGTTCCCGTGGCCCAGCCACTCCAGCCCTGCCCTCCTGTGTTGGGTGTCACCCTTTCATCTAGATGGGCAGTGCTGCTGATCCCTACAGAGCTTCATGAATGCACACAAACTCCTATTCATCCTTCGAAACCCAGCTATGTGTCTCTCCTGTTACCTTTCCCGATAGAGTGACTCGCCCCGCTGTGTGCCTCCCCAGTACACCACGCGCACCTTTCTCTCCCCGAGTGTGCGAATCTGCCATCACCGCTCTTGACCGGCTGCCCGCTAGACCGGGTTTACTGCAGGCGGGGGTTGGGCCTCCTTCATTCTGTGTCCTGTCCTGACTGGGTGGTTGGGGTGTTTGGGGAGCTGCCCTGTCCCCTCCCCGCCCCATACCCAGCCCTTCGCTTGCCCTGGCTCGGGAATTCTCGCATCTTCGGTACCCCGCAGCAGACACACACCTGCTTCAAGATGCGGCTGGGGCAGGGTGGGCTGTGGTGGCTGTCCACGTGGGCCCTGCCCCCCTGCACAGAGATGCCGGTCCTGAGCCTAGAGGAGGTCTGGGTGGGACCTGGCCCTTGTCCTCCTCTCTTCGTGGAGCCTGGAGATCAGAAGGACTTCTTCCCCACGTCCTCCTTCTGTGCCTGAGTTTCATCATCTGTGAAACGGGCTATGTCTTGTATCTGCCTCGCATTGTGTTTACGCACGATTTAAACGTTAATAACGCGGGCCGTGTGCTCAGTGCCCGGCTCAGAGTAGCTGCTCAGTAAGGCGGCAGTCGCAGTGAGCGTTTGCTCCCCGATCTTCCGGCCCCTGCCACACCCCGAGGCTGCTGGTCTCGGGGTTCTGGCTCTCGCAGCGGGGCCGAGAGCATGGCTGTGTTCCTGGGTGGGCTGGGCCCAGGCTCCAGGCCGAGCTAGTTCTAGGAGCCAGCTTGAGCCCACCTACATACACGGGGGCGGGGCGGGGGAGGGGGCTGGCCCCGGCACCCGTGTGACGCCAGGAGCCCGAGCCTGGAGCTCTGTGGTCAGCCACGTTCGCCAGGGCTCTGGGCCACCCCTTCCCTGGGTCTGGGTTTGGGGATCCTTGGGGGTGGTTTCCATCTGATGGTGGACTTGTTGTGGGCGGCCTCGCCGAGTCGGGCTGAGTCAGGAGCGCCCGGCCACCTGGGTGGAGGAGGGCCTTGGTCTCCCACGTGCGCCGTGGGCACCCTGCTGTCCCGTGCACATAGTGGCCCGGATCCAACAAAGGCTCCTTGAAGCCACCTTCCACAGCTCCCCGTCCCCCCTCCCCCAGCTGGCCCAGGCCGGCCCCACCCCATGTCCTCCGAGCAGGCCCTGCTGATCCGGGCGGGGCTTGGCGGGGCCTGGCCGAGGCGCAGCGTCCACCATCACAGCCCGGAGGTCCAGCCTGTTGAATTCACGGCCACCGAGCCCTCTGCCACATGTTCCTGTTTTCCTAATAAGTCCCGGGTGGTGAGTGGAGGGGGGCGGGGAGGCCGCAGGGCAGATCAGAAATAGTCACATGGTTGTGAAACACAAGAATCCTGGAAAGGGTATCTGAGCCTCTATGTCGCCCTCCCCCCTCGCCGGCGGCACCAGCTCTGAGGTCACTGTCGACACCCAGCCCGCTTCCAAGGCAGAGGAGGGCGTGCGGGGCCTGCCAGTGTCGGCCGGCTGGTAGCAGCTGTGCCCGCAGCCCTGGGCCCAGGGAGTCGGGCCTGGGGGCTGGGGGGCGGCCCCCGAGAACACGGCGCGTTTGTTAGAATCGAAACTGGGCGGACTTGCCAGGGCCTGCGGGGTATGGAGGCCCCCGTGTTTGTTTCCCGCCTGGGGAGGGCATGTGGGGGCCCCGGGGCGCCCCCCACCCCCCGGGCCGGGGACTTGCGTGCTGGGCTGGGCAGCTGCCTGCTGTTCGGGAGGTCTCTATTTATAATCTCGTGCGTGCGTGCGTGCGTGCGTGCGTGTGTGTGTGTGTGTGTTCTAATTCCTCCTCTTCTCTGTCACCCTGCAGAAGAAGGCCGAGGCTGCGCACCGGATTCTGGAAGGCCTGGGGCCGCAGGTGGAGCTGGTGAGCCGGGGGACAGGGTGGGGGGCAGCAGCACCCACCTCCTGCTGGAGAGGTGGGTGGGCGGCAGGGGGGCTGTGGAGGGGAGGGAGGAAGTCGTCTACTGTCTGGAGGAAGCAGGAAATACACCCTCCTGAAAAGAGGGCCAGCAGATAGCGGCGGGTGGGCCAGCTAGGGTGGGGTGGGGGGCCGTGGCACTCCTGCTGCCCTCCGAAGCCCAGCCGGTCCGGCTGCGAGGAGAGTGGCACACTGGAGTCTGGCCTGTCTGGTCCAGCTCAGCAGGGAAACCCATACTCCGGGCCAGATGGTCTGAGTTCAGCTCCCAGATCTACCGCTTTGTAGCTGTGTGACCCTGAGCAGGTCTCTTAACCTCTCTGTGCCTCGGTTTCCTCAGCTGTAAAATGGGGATAATAATGGCACATATCCCGTTGGGTCATAGTGAAGATGAACCCTGTTTTGTAAAGCACTGAACACAGTGTCTGAAGGAGAGTAAGTGCTGAGCATTAGCTGTTGTTATTATTATCATTACTGTTGTTGGTGTTGTTTTACTGACGGGAAGATGCCATGTCGGCAGCAGAGCCGGAAAGCAGGCCCTGAGCCTCTTCTCTGTCAGGCGCCCGGCACGTGTATGTGTCACCAGAGATGGGATGAGGGGGCATGGAAACTGCCGCTGGTGGCTTTGGAGTCCCAGAGCCTCGGGAGCAGAAGCCTCGGCCCCTGGAGACACGGCCAGAGCTGTGGGCGGCCCTGGGTGTCCAGGGGCTGGGCGTGAGGTCCCGTGCACGTGGCGGGAATGGGGTGGGCGTGCGTGTGCCCAGGGGCGGGAAGACAGCCTCCCACACCGGGAGCCTCTCCGCTCAGCCCCCCGCGAGTGTGCGGAGCGGCCCGGGGGAGGGCTGGGTGCTCCCGTCTGTGAAGTGAGGAAGCGGGCTCTTCAGAGGGACGGGCGAGGCGAGGGGAGGGCTCGCTCGCGTGGCCCTCGCCCGGAGGAAGCTTTCGGCCGTGTGAACACTCGGGAGGGTGAGCTCTCGGCCTGCTCCTCAGCCTGGGGTCTGTCTGCTCCCGCCGCTGGGGACCAGGAGCGGCTGGCCTGTCACTGCCGCCCGTCCCTCAGAGGCAGAGCCCGGGAGGGGGGCTCCTACGGTTCGGGGGCAGAGCCCAGCGCCCCTCCCGGGAGGGGGCAGGCTCCCAGCCCGGGTCTTGCTCCCCCTTGGGCGTCATCTCTGAGATGTCTCTGGCAGCCTTTCTTTTCAGAAGCTCTATTGAGATGTGATTCACGTGCCATACAATCCACCCATTTAAAGTGTACAATTCAGTGGTTTTAGTATGTTTGCAGATGTGAACGGCCACCTCCACAATTTGAGAACATTTCACCATCTCAAAAAGGACTCTGTGCCCTTAACTGTCACGTCCTTACTCCCGCCCCCCACTCCTGCCCATCTAACCAGCCGCTAACCTGCTTTCCGTCTCTGTGGCCTGGCCTGGCCTGACGTTTCGTATCGGTGGGGTCCTACCCTGTGGCCTTTGTGTGTGGCTCCTCTCACTTGGCGTCATGCGGTCGAGGCCCATCCACATTGTAGCAGGTGTCGTGGTTTCCTTCCTTTTTACGGCCAAATAACATTCCATCGTGCGGACGGACCCCGTTTAGCTTATCCCTCTGTGCACTGACGGGCATTAGATCGTTTTGCTTTTGGCCGTTCTAGCTAAAGTGGCTACGAACGTGAATGGACGCTTGTCTGTGTGGCCCTATGTTTCATTTCTTGTGGGTCTGGGCCCAGGACTGGAGTTGCCCGATCGTGTTAAGTCTGCGTTTAGCCTCTTGCACTGCGAGACTCGATCCCCATGGTGGCTGCACTGTTTTCCATTCCCACCAGGAAGCTGCCGCTTGCCTCAGTTTCCCCTTCTTTCCAGTAGGGGTGGAGGACTAGAGGTGGTACCCAACTGTTTCCAGACCTGGAGGTGCCCCCTCTCCCCTTTCCTGACCTGATGAGTCCTGGGGGCCTCCTAAGTAGGGGCGGGATGGAGTCGCTGGGTCTGGAGGCCGGAGAGGCCAGTGAGGGACGCAGGGCCCGCGTCCCTGTGAGCGAGGCGGGGCGTCTGCTGGGCTCAGAAGCCGGTGATTCTTTTCTAGGTCTTCAGGGGTTGGGGGTCGTCCCCTGCTTAGGGGTCTCAGAGCGGAGGCTCCCTCAAGGCTGGTGGCACAGGAGGCTGAGGTCTGGAGTGTCTGGTGGCTGCGTGGCTGTCACTGGAGTCCTCTCAAAGTCAGTAGGCTCTTGGCTTGGTGGCCTTCAGTGGGGCTGGGGAGGGGACTCACGTTGACAGGGACCTACTGTGTCAGGCCTCGTGCAAGTGTCACCGTCCATGTTCTAGATGAGGCTCAGCGAGGGCAGTGTCGGGGTCACACAGCAAGAGGTGAGGCGGGGAGGTGTGCTGAGCCCGTGGGGTTGCGGCCGGCTCTGCACAGGTCTAGTCGCCGCAAGGCTCGAGTGGCCAGAAGTGCACCCTCTGCAGGGGCTGCTCCATGCCCCCCAGGAATCAGAGCTCAGGCCGTGGAGGGCCTGGTGCTGCCGACCCCGGGTCTCGGGTCACTGGGCCGCGCCATTGGGAATCCCGGGGTCTCTCCTCTGCAGCTGGGGACACTCGGCCGAGGGAGAGGCCACTCCGCCTCAGGGTAGTGGTGGGCGCTCTGTGACCCCCTGGGAGGGAGGCTGGGGCCCAGGAGACATTTGCGTTGGAAGAGAAGACAGCCTGGCTGCTCTGAGCAGGACTCTGCGTCACCGCCCCATCCCAGTACCCCCGGGGACCCGGCCCGGCCTGGGGGAGGGGACAGTGGGGGCGTGGGTGGCCGCAGCCCCCTCCTCCCCTCCTGCCGCTTCGAGTCAGCAGTTTCCTTCCTGTTCAGAGGTGTCATTTTAAGAACCTGGTGTCACCGGGGGTTGAGGGCCCTGCCGACTTTCATTCCGTCCAGCTCAGTCCGCCTGGGGCGGCTGGAGTCGGGGGAAGGGGACCCCTCGTCTCCCCGAGACCCAGTCCTCCTCAGTCATCATGGCGCCTGTGTCTGCCCAGGGCTTCACGGTCCTGCTCGGCCTCCCGCCTTGCGCCCTCCGCTCTCTGCCTCTGAGGGTTGGGCTGCCCTCCATTTTCAGAGGAGGAAATGGAGGGGGCGACGACAGGCCAGGCCCCTGTCAGGAGGGTGGCCTTCCTGGTCGTACTGCAGCCCTGCTCCTCCGGGTCCCTGGAAGGGGTTTTCCTCCTGAGGTGGTGTCCCCCAGGCAGGGGTGGTGGGGGCAGAGGAGAGCTGCGGGTCGGGGGCCGAGGTCGCCTCACGGCTGCCGTGGGGGACTTCCCTCCCGGGACACAGGAGCCTTGCTGGCCTCGTGCGGCCCCCTGCAGGTGGTGAGGAGGGGTGTTGGGGTCCCCTCGTGCCCTCCCCTGAGCTGTGCTGTGGCAGAGGATGTGTCTGGGTCCCTCCCCACCCTGCACGCCTTCCAGATGGATGGCTGCCCGGGGCCCGTCGCCACGGTAACAAACAGCCTCCTGGATGCTCTGGGCCCAGAGTCTTCCTTCCCCCAGGTCTCAGTTTACCCCAGAGAGCCCAGTGAGACCCCGTAGTCCTCTGGGTTCTTCCGGCCTTTTACTGAAGGGCAGGACTGAAGGCCCCTCGAGGGGCGGGGGCTCTGTCCCCGTCTTATCCCGCAGGGCAGGCGCCCGCAGGTGACAGTGGTTCCCTTCCCGGCGGGTTTGGCGGGTCAGAGGCTGCCCGGGACCCCGCTGCCCTTCTGGAAGGTGGTCTCCCCTTTCCTGGCCCATCCCGTCTTGTAGAAACAGACCCCCCATCACTCGCTGCGGGGTCTCTGCATGTGGTCCCTCAGCCCCTCCTCAGGCTGTGGAGACGCCGCTGTTCGCCACCTTTAAAACCAAACCAAACCAAGGCAGAGCAGCCGCCACGTCTGCCATTTCCTGGGCCGTGGTTCTGGCTCCTGTTTGCTCTGCGCCTGTTTTCCAGACGGGAAGGCCGAGGCCGGAGTGTCTGGCATGTGTCCGAGGTCACACAGCCCGTGAGGGAGGCGCCGTCGTTTACATCAGGCCGTCTGTTCCTGGAAACGGAACCGTTTGGCCATGCCCACGCGGGCAACATGAAGGTCCTGATGCAGAGCCCCCAGGGTTAGACGCCGGCGTGTGACGCCTGGGAGATCGCGCGGGCGTCTCGTGGGGCTCCTTGCTGTTCCAAGATGAGGGCTCTCAGCCTTTTGCAGTAATCTTACCCCTCTCAGTTGGGAAGTTCTGCAGTGAGTCTGACTGTGGGCTCTCTGGTTGCCCTCCTGTTGAAAGCTCCAGAGCCACGCAGCTTGGAAGGGCAGCCTGACTGGTGTGGGGAGAGGTGGCCTGTGCCAGCCCCGGATGACATTTCCATCCCCGGGAGTCGCTGAGCTTAGAGCCTGGAATTGCCTGAGCCCAGTGGTGAAATGCCACGCGGGAATCTGGGGGACACCAGAGAGAGGTGACGTTGTCATCAGCCAAGCCTGCCTACAGCACCCACCCATAGGCCCCCGACTGCCCAGGGCAGCAGAGGCGCCTCCTCGAGGACCCCAGCCTGTCCACGGAGGGCAGGAGGCCGCTCCCTGCCCGGGCATCTTGGGGCCTGTGGCCGTGCTGCTCTGGGTGGTCCCATCGGCTGGAGTCATGAGATGTCTGTGGGTGTCAGAAGGGGTGTCCAACTCCGTCCCTGGGGAGGAGTTCTGGGGGAGCCTGACGTGCCCCCCTTACCCTGGGCCCTGCCCCGAGGCTCCGGGACTGCACATCTCGTCCTGCACTGCCCGGCTTGACCCCTCACACTCTGTGCCTGGTTCCTCTACCGCCGTCATCCGTGGCTGCCCCGGGAGGCCCCTGCTGCGTGCGTGGGCATGGGGGCAGGGAGAGAGGATGACACAGAGAGGGACACACAGACACACAGAGGGACACACAGAGACACAGAGGGACACGCAGAGACACAGAGGGACACACAGACACACAGAGGGACACAG